TGGAGGGAAGAGGGCTGAACACTGGTTGTACATACATCTACTCGTGAACCTGCGTGCCTGCCCCCCCTTTCCTCCGCCCCCTTCCATCGGCCCGGTGCTCCACATTATCGTCCAACTGATCTAATTTACCCTGGTTTAAAATTAGCGCGCCTTTAGTCGTTTGTAGCGATTTGTTTAGCGCTTTTAATTCTCGCAAGTTTAATCCCTCCGTGTCTGTTTGCACTTTTTTATCTTCGTTGACGTCTTGCACAATTTCGCTCACTTGCTTGGCCGCTTCGGGAAATTTTTTAACTCGATCGTTTCTGGTTTAATCGTTTTTAAACTTTGAGCGACTTGTTCTATTTTAAGGCCGTTATGTTCAAAACCTAATGTATATCTAATAAAATCCGACCCATTATAGCCGGCGTTCCTAGCGTTTATGGCTATAGTGTCTAAGTTTACCAATTTACCGGGACTTTTTTTACTTGTTAAAAGAACTTCATTACTTAACCGACTTTCCCCGCCTTTGAAAAATTAACCTCACGTCAGTTCGGCCCATTTTACTGAAATATTCATTAAAAAAATGTCTACCATGGGATAAGTTATAAATGCCCGCGTGTCAAGTTCTAATGTACCTGGCGTAGGATCGACGGTCAATTTCGGTCTGACTGAGCCGTGAGTGAATGAAGTCGTGTCAAGTCTACTGCTAATTTCTAGCGTGTCCAAAGAACCAAGGCTTCAAAATCTTGATCGTCGTCATACGCTGAATTTGATTCCCCTCTGTCTAATAGAGGTATTTCTTCTGGATCAAATCCGCTTTCTGATATTTTACTTTATTATAAACGAGTTTTTATTTTTACTTTAAGCGGATGGTAAACTCGCTGGGAAAATGCCATGTTACACAAGCCAGCTTTGCGTGGCTAATGCGCCGCTCGACACGGCAGTCAATTTTAACGCGTCTTCTACCGATAATTTATTTAAATCGGGCGGTATAATTTTAAAGAGCTTATTGCTCAACATGGCGTATGTTATTGAAATTATGCTGACAACTGCACCGTGGTACACTGTGTTGGCGACGCCGTTTACGTCTATAGCTTTAGCGTTACTCATTCTTATTATATATGTTTTTAAGCTTGAATTTTTATATTTATTCCATGTCTAAAATTTTGAACGCCGGTGCGGTCGTTTAAACTTTTGGCGGCGTTTGAAAAGTATGAACTTTCTCAGGCGTTGACCCATTTTTAAAAATTAAAAACACGGCGAGCGTTCCAATCGCTAAACTGCCTAAAATTAAATTTCTGTTTTCTGTGACTGTTTTATAAATCTTTATTTCGGGCTCGGATTCACCAATTTCATTTTTGCGAGTTGCTGTTTCATCTTTTTATTGTGTTCGACTAATTTTTTACCCTGTTCTACGCGTTTCGGATTTTTAACTTTGGTCACCGTATGTACCTGGCTCTTTACCGGACTCGGGGCCGGCGTTGCTGTTGGCTGTTCTTCCGTTGACATGTTCTTTTATAATACACGTATTTTTATTAATAGCTAAATACTTCGTAGTTATTAACGTTTCTACCAGAAAAGATAGGTAAATTTCATACTTGTAACAGAGCTCGCTTAGGAAGTGACTCATCGTTTGGCTAATTATTGGATCGTTGTTTAATTTAAATAAAAATAAAAAAGCTATAGCCGAGCTCACGCAGCTCGACTATAGCATTTTAAAACAAATAAGTAACTTATTCTAGCTCGTCAGTTAATTTAAGTTTGTCAGATTTCTTTTTGTTGTTGCAACTCCAACCACAGAGGGTACAATTTGACTTAAAGTGACCTATTGACTTATTTCATCGTTCAATAGTGCACTCAGAACTCAGATTTTTTATCCACGAATTGGAGCTTTACCTTACAATCTGGATAAAAGCAGGGCTCATGGTGTTCTATTAACCTGCGGCAAAAATCGGTGTCTATGAAATGGTCAGGGTCAAATCGGCCGTGTTTTTTGTCTTCTTGGCGGCAATTACTGATCCATCTGCTAATTGTTACTTTTATGGGATCATTGAACAACTTGCAATTGTTTCGTTCTTTACCATGCTCACAAATAGCAGATCCACCGTGGCACATATGATACAATAATGTCTTTGCTTTCCGTGAATGCATTTGTGCCGGTCACTGGAAATTTTTGCCGTTTCGTTAGAGCTGATACAACCAGTACATATTTTACCATTACTTTAACTTTAAAAATATCCAGGCCTTTTTCCTTTCGGCAATTATTGCATATCTTAGCAACCATTTCAAATCTTGGCAATTTTTAAAAATATTTTCTAAGTTTTATTCACATTAAAAACCACGAAACCGGGGGCCTAGTATTAACGACTATTTTACTAAATTTAAAATTTCTTAAATGCTGTTTTAATTGATCACGTTTTTCACAGAGTATAACATCATTTTCGTCGAGCATTTGATCAAATGACGATTTATCTTTACAATAAAAAACGGCCACCAACGCCGTATTGCTCCTGTAATCTTTCAAAACGGCGTTATATTTCTGTGTCCATAGCCAACAAGAATGCAGATAATGACGTCCTGAAAATGCCATTCGACTCAGGGCGGGCACACGTGTTGCTATTTTTTTGATCGCTTTCGATATTTAATAATTTGGTAGGCTGAACAATCGTCAATAATAAATAAAGTATTTACTCCGTCAAACGCCTTTTGGTATAATTCGATCGTCTCATTTAATTTTACATTTTAAATAACGTGGGGCAAATAATTACAATCGCCTCAAATGTAAATTTACACTCGTGTTCAAATAAATCAAGCCACCATTTCGTTTTGCCACTTCCCGTATCACCCACGATTAGTGCGCAGTGAGGTGATTTATACATGTTGCCATTCATTTACTTTAACCCAATTTAATGCTTAATAAACTAAGCTCTTAAAATTTCCGCCTTCCACGGTCAAGTGAGCGTCCATTACTAAAAACACGTACATCATTAAAGACCCAGCCGTTTCGGCCGTTCTATCCATTTGAATCAAAATATCTCCCCCTCCACCTAATGGTCTACCGGAACCGTGCGCCAAATTGTCGTCGGAACTTCTAAAATCGAGCCACAGGCCGTATTTATCTTTCAAATAAGTGGCCATGTCAACGCCGGTTAAATTTAGGTCTTTTACGACCGCTCGACCTGACTCAGTCTTCGAATCTCCAAAGTACTTGCAAATTTCGGCAAAATGTTGGTATTCAAACGGCCCTTGCGAGTACTATTGATTCGGCTTGCCTTCGACCGTTACGCTCGTTTTCGTAATGTGCGGGTTGTAAAATTTTCGCAGATTTGAAAACATGGGATCTTTAAATAGGATCAAAACGCCTTTAAAATTTTTAATCTTCTGATCAATATAATGTTCCATAATGTGTTCGATTTATTGACTGTCTGTTCTTTCCACGAATGAATTCGGTCAAATAAATAATAGGCCTACACGAGTCCTTTGTGCTTTTGTCGCAAACTCGTCGCCAAATTGCGATTGGTGACGACTTCGTATTCCAAAGTCAAGTCCGAAATTGAATACTCGGCTGATGTATCGACGCTTTTTACGACTTTATCGTGCAAATTAAAAGTCAGTTGATACCTTAACGACTCTTTGAAACTTAAGGGATAAAAAGGCCCGTGATCCGTTAAAAGGGGCACGTCTAGCGCAATCGCGTAATGATTTTTAAAGGCGTCTGCTATTGCCTTATCTTTGCCGTCGTTTAACGTTGCACGCAACCTGGAGGTGGGAAAACAATCTTTTTAAAATAATCACTCTTTAAATCGTGAACGTACGCCTCGGAGAAGTACTTGTAGCCCTTCCCCAGTTCCTTCCCACCGGTGCTTTTTGATCCCCCTTTGGCATACTTTTCTACAAACCCAAATGTAAGTGTCGGGGATAACGCTTATGTCTCTCGAATTCGCCGCCATCTTGCGTTGTGTGTAGTTTCTGGTACCGCCCATGGCCTCGCATTTGGTTCACAAAATGTGACGTCAGCATAAATATTAAGAAAGGCGTATGAGCGTTCACTTTCCGAGGTTGATTCTGATTTGGGAGGATAATTAAAGCCTAACACTGAACTTCTGAGAATAAAGACCGGTAGACATATGTAATACATTTAAAACGAATAGATGGACCCATGGGATGGACCCAAGGGACCATGGCTACGTGTACTAATTTGGCCCGATAGTTTGCTGATGAACACAATTTCAAACGGGGCTTCTTTCAATTGAGTACTGTTTCAGTGGTGTGCCTTGATACGAGTAGGTTGAAATCTGAGTAATTTGGACAACTCGGACCTTACGAATTGCCTTCTTTATTTGGACATGCTAGGGATGTCATTAAGAACAGTTTATACATTGTTTTTTACTCCCAATCAAAAGCCGTAAAATTCACTGCAAGACAGTCCTTATTGTCTTTGGCCGTTACAAACGTCATGCTTATGTCAGGGGTGGGGAGCTGGCAACTTAACCCCGCCCTATGGATTCTCTTTCTTTTACAAAGGATGTAGGTATAAGAAAGTCATCAGTATATTTATTTTATCAAATAGTGGCACCAAAACCCCACAAGTATGGTGTTCTAAAGCGGACAGTACGTCTTGTGTGAGTTTGAACGTTGTGTTTGTGAATTGCAAACGTCTTGTTTGTGAGTTGGAACGTCGTGTGTGTCAGTTCGAGGTGTTTGTGAGTGGTCAGGGCCAATGTCATGGATCATTAGCATGATTTCTTCCTTGATAAAAAAAGGATTACCAACCAAAAATCCATGCCATTTTTATGATAAGCGACATCAGGTGAACACCAGTCACAGGCAATATATATAACAAATAAACATTTTGGTTGGTAATCCTGTTCCAACTCACACACAGGACGTTCAAACTCACAAACACAACGTTCGAACTCACAAATACGACTTTCAAACAAATACACGACGTTTGCCTGTCCACTTTAGAGCACCATAAACAAGACATCACACTGAAATAAAGCCAGAATGAGCTTTTCTCATTGAATGAACCCGAAGCAAAATTCACTTTTTAATTCCCCCAGCCCCCAAAAACCAACAGCTGCATAAGTCACTGCCGACAATTCTTCTGAGTATTTGCCAGATAATTATTTCCAATAGACATCACAGATATTCTTAACAACACAAAAAGGAATGAAATCACTGCTTTATGTCTTTCTTCCACTAATAAACACCAATGATATTAAATACGCTGTTATGTAAGACTCTTTTTCACGGTAATGAAAATTTCACCATACCTGACCAAAATAACAACCCTATTTACAGCAAAATGGCCAGTGGGGTTGTGTGCTTTTAGTTAGTACACCAGTGATTTCTTAACGTTTTGGAAAATTACTGTGGCGGTGGGAAGATAACAAATAGACCCATCAATTATCTTGTTTTGTGAAATAAAAGCGCTGACAGGAATTCTAGCACAATGCAGATTATCGCATTTTTGTAAATATACATGCAATGAGGGGAAAACAGTAAATACGGCCAGATTAGTGAACCCGGAGAGAATCAAACAGAAAAAAAATCTTTTCTTTGCATGTGCCTATAACTTTCAATTCCAGCGTGTTATCAAATGTTTTGTAATGTTCACCCTTTAATTAAATTCAGCTTATTGTGTTTCAAGGAACATGTATTGGGTTCAAGTGGCCTTTTGGTGCTGAAAATGCTGACTTTTGTTCAAATATTTTCTACATTACTTTGTGTTTGTCGTAAGTTTGAAATTGGCACTTGTAAAACAAAGTTAAAAGTTTATAAATCTTGCTGGTTGGGGCCACTTCATTCCTTTGGAGCCTCTATACTTTCCTTATATGCCAACGCTACAAGTAATTTTACAACGTTGCAAGCAAACTCCAACAACTCAAACAACACCACGGTGAAGTGTAGCAACTATTCTTGGGTGAGTTTGTTCCAAGTTTTCCATAAATTTCGCCCACATACCGCACATCATCTGTAATAGCGGGAATTTCGGTCATTGCATATCCATTCGAACTCAAAGGAAATTGACCAGAATAACTCATGTCTTACCCATCTCTGGTGATGTTCAACTAAACCCGGGCCCCAGAACTATAAAAATCCCAAGTATCCTTGTGGAGTTTATGGGAAAAAATGTTAATGCAGACCAAAAAGTCACGGAGTGCGAGATTCACAATAGTGCGCCTCCAAGAGTTGAAACGCGTTAGCGAATCACAACGTGCGAAATTAGATATTACATCAGCTCATCTGTGTTGAAGACTGCTGATCGCACTGCCCCCACGAAAAGGATATTTTGCTGATTTCAATGTAGGTCAAATTATGGGCTTCTGAGCACGTCATACAAAGAATTCATTTTACTTGTCATCATAGAGTTGTCAACTCGATCTGTACAATAAAATCAGTTTTATACAGCATGTCCCTCAAAATGGAACCCAAATGCAGTAATCATTTTCTCCCTGGGTATTAATAAACATTACATCAAATTAAAGCTGACATTGTTTTCTAACTGTATGGACAATTTGAAGCTCTACCAATGATTCAGAGATATTTTCAGCTACGTAACACAGAACTCTATTCAGCTCAGTATCCTCATTCTGTATGCCATTTTCAATGGTCTTATGTGTTTAATGGAACAAACGTAGCTGCGTAGTTACTGCGTCTTATAAAAGTAACTTTGTCTCATATAACCATCTGCGTACTGCCTCATCGGATTTAAATGAAGACTTAAGTTTTGAGGAGATAACATTTTAAGTTTGACTTGATACTAAAACAACAATTTCCCTAGTAATCATTTTGGGTGATACTAAATGTCACTTTTAGGTTGCGTTTCTTTGGGGGCAAAGCTGTATTACAGAAGTAGTAATATTATACTTGAGGGCCTTGTCCTTGGCAAAAGGCTACAGGGTAAAAGCCTGGGCATAGACCTTTTCGCTGATAAATTCATCAGTGCCAAGCAGTGCACCCCCACACTGGAAGCCAAGCTGGAATAAAAGGAACCACTAGGAAAAGGGGTTCCAAGGGCATGACAACTGCTTGTGTGGTTCCCAGACCAAAGCTTTGTTTTGGGGAAGCAGCAAAATATTTTATCAAACGTTAATACTGTAAATGTACAAGTGAACAAATTTAAGGTGTTTCCTTTCTCCCTGGCAAAACAGAACTATCTTAAATACTGAAGACTTTGCAAACAGCTCAAAGCTGAAAGTAGTGTGTGCATGTGTCTTTGCACAACAGCAAAATTTTTAAACAATTTACCTGGAAAATTTTGGGGCACATTTTTGAGCACATTTTTAGACGAGGAACAAAGATTAGGGCTATTATACTGGTGAAAGCATGTACTATCAAAGTTATCACTGTTCATGGCAACGATAATAGATTAACAAGTTTGAAACATCAAAACTAACAAAAAGAGATGAATCCATAAAATTTAGCGATTCATATCCACAACACAACTACACATAAGAGTTGTGCTGCATAATACAATAAATGATGTTGCATATGCCACATACGTTCACCCTCACGACTTCGCAGCGCATGCGCACACGATCACTTTACTGTGGATTCCGATGCAGGTGGCGTGGGACACTGTTCCGACTCTTCTTTCCGCACAGTACAAATACATCTTTTAAAAATCTAATTATCTACAAAACATCCACACAGAACCAAACTGAAGCGATCCAAGGATTCAGGTCTTTGAGGATCACAGATGAAGGTTAAAATCGACTATACTCCTAAAAAAAGGATAAAAACAAATAAAAATGTCTCCTTCAGTGGAGAAGATTGTAACAATATATTGCGCCGCTGCAAGTTGGCAGATCGCCCACTCTAAGTGCAAACTAGGAGTTTTGGCGCGCGTTCGCTCAGACATGTGAGTGCGCAGGGATGTGTATCAGCAGAGAGAGCGGAATGCACGACAGCATTTGGGCAACCTTCAGTTGTCGGACGTTAAGTTTTTGGTGAATATAGACAAGAAACGAAAATCACGGGCAACGGGGTGAACTTACTGCTGTAAGTAGCCTTTTATCTTGTTCTTTCCTTAGGCTATGAAAATTCTAGTGAAGGCCTACACATTTCCAACTTCCGGAAGTCGATCCCCCCATCAGGCAATCGCCCACTGAGTTGTTCTACAGTCACTCCTCCCTTACAACCGGCCGCTACCACATACCACCGGCCGCTGATAGACTATTCCGGCCGCCGATATTTTCCCAACCATTATTTCGTTGGACACCGAGCAACAAAATCACTGCCACGGCTGAGAGCGAGTAGGCCTACAGAGGCTATTGTGAGAAAACCAACTGCTGTCAGTTGTCAATTGTTCAGCTGAACAAGAAATTAAAAGAGGAATATTTGAGGCTGAGCAGGGAAATAGAACGCCTTTCACAAACTCTCAGCAGCTACTTTGCCAAAAGCTGCTCCAGCATTGCAGTGCAGAATGGAGACCAACGGGCCGCTCCTACAGGGTAGCTGCATCGGTTGCACGCGAATCGGCTACGCCAGGGACTGCAGTACCGAATGGAAATCAGCGGGCCGCTCCAAGGGTAGCTGCGCCGGTTGGACGCCAACCGACCGCTGCAGGGACTGCAGTGCAGAATGGAGATCAACCAGCCGCTCCAAGGGTATTGCTAAGAGTGGAAAAAGAACGCCGGCTCGCCGATCTCAAGAAAGTGCATAATGTTCAATTCGCGCCAACACCGAAGACCCTGCGATAGAAACAGAGCAGGGAACAGATATACAGAGTCAGCTTAAAGAAATAGCTGAACAACTAGAGATGATGAAGAAAAAGATCCAGACACGTGGGACTAGCCGGAAGGGTTCGAATCAGAAGAACACACGCGGACCCAAGTGTTATGAATGCCAGAAGTATGGCCACATGAAACAGCAGTGCCCAAAACTGAAAAAAGCCGATGTGTCATCGACTGGTGACACCAGTTCAAAGCCGATCGAATCAAAGGAAAATCCGGGAAACTGCGACGTGCTGCGTCTGAAGGCCAAGACCCAGCAAAGACAGAGGGGACCAACACAAAATTACCTGGGAATGTTGCTGCTGCAAGGTTACATGTTGACGCCCAAGTCAACGGGGTTGAGGTAGTTGCTCTTGTGGATACTGGTGCCACGTTATCAATTCTATCGAAGAAAGTCTTCACAAAGTTACCTGAGGAAGCCCGGCAGAATTCAACAAGCACGAACACGAAGGTGCAACTAGCAGACCTTGGTCTTGCTAGGGGAGGTGGATGCAACACTTCAGCTTGGTGTCGGCAAATTCGGCACAGATTTAGAGTGGCCAACATTACTAACGATATGTTACTAGGTTTGGATTTTCTGCGAACCATGCAGGATTGCCTGATTGGCGTTACAAATCGAAGTCTGGACTGGGGGGGGGGGAACTGGAGCTGCCCAGTGGAAAGCCGGCAGAAGTGCTGTCGTGTGATTGTTGTGGATACAGTTGTCATTGCCCCCCACACTGAGATGGTTGTAGCAAGGAACTTGGAAGACCCTGTACCGTACAGGATAATAGGACCGAGTGATACCTTGGTGAAGAAAAACAACCCGATGCTTGCCCCCACCATAGTAAGTATAGCTTACAAAACGCTCCCTTTGAGATCGTTATAAAGCCCACTGAGAGTTCAGTGACCTTGTATAAGGGAACTACAGCCGGGACATTCCTGATAATAGACGCAGTTGGGCCTAGAATTGACTTGTCGCAGTCCGATCTAGAAAAACCACAGGAAAGAATTAATCGCGTGAGCCATCCAAGGGAGAGGCAGGAAAAGATGGGTGAAATCCCACACTATATTTTAGAATTGTACATGACGAGTCCAGAGTATCTTCACAGGAAGGAGACTGATCAGTTAAATGAACTATTGATTGAGTACCAGGCACAGTTTGCCTCAAAGGAAGGAGACTTGGGCCGAACAGATCTGACGAGGCACCAGATAGAAACAGGTAACATTGCACTCATCAGACAGCCTGTGCGACGACTTCCTATTCATCAGAGAGCTGTAGCCGAAGCGGGAATTGCTTCAATGCTTAGAAGAGGTGTCATCTAGCCAGCGTCTGGACCTTGGGCCTCACCCGTTGTCCTGGTCCGTAAAAAGGATGGAAGTGTCAGATTCTGCGTGGATTACAAGTGACTTAATGCAATCACCCAGAAGGACGCATATCCCATTCCCGCATCGATGACACAATCGACGCTCTAGCTGGATCTACTTACTCCAGTATCTTTGACCTTGCATCTGGGTACTGGCAGGTGCCCATGGCGGCAGAACATAAGCCCCAGACAGCATTTTCCATATACTATGGTCTGTTCCAGTTCGAGGTGATGCCATTTGGCTTATGTAATGCGCCCTCGACTTTCGAACGCCTTATGGGGAAGGTGCCCACTGGGCTGCAATAGCAGACTTGCCTAGTATACCTAGATGACATCATAGTGTATAGTCGAACATACGAGGCGCATCTGCAACGCCTACGGCTTCTCCAGGATAAAGGTTGCTTGGTTGAAACTGCAACCCAAGAAATGCCACCTTTTCCAAGAGGAAGTTGCCTTCCTTAAACATGTTGTGTCGTCAGACGGTGTGAAAACAGATCCTGACAAGATTCAGCGGGTTGAAAACTGGCCGGTTCCCACCAATGTTCGTGAGGTGCGAGGGTTCCTACGCCTCGCCTCCTGTTACAGGAGATTTGTACCGAGCTTTGCTGAGCTGGCCCGACCTCTTCACCGCCTGACAGAGGCATCACCATTGGACAGAGGAATGTCAAACCGCTTTTGACAGCTTGAAGAGAAGGTTGGTTTCCTCCCCCATCTTGGCATACCCTACAGCCACTGACATTTACACTTGACACAGACGCTAGTGACTGTGGCATAGGGGCTGTGTTGTCCCGAAAGCAAGACGATGCAGAGACCATCGCCCGAGTGTTCGTTGATGACTTTGTATGTAGACTTGGCGATTGCCTATTCCAGTCGAGCCTTGACAAAAAGTGAGCGTAACTACTGTGTCACAAGGAAGAGCTACTTGCGGTTGTGTACTTTGTGGAGTATTACCGCCATTACCTATATGGACGAAAGTTTCTTATCCGAACAGGCCATGGGGCATTGAGATGGCTCTTTGGATTCAAGGAACGATTGGGTCAGGCTGCAAAGTGGATCCAACTCCTAGCTGAATATGGGGTTAAAATTCAGCATAATCTGGGCAGGCGTCATAGAAACGCAGACGCTATGTCAAGAAGACCGTGCAAGCCGTGCACTCGCCCAGAACCATCAGATTCAGAAAGAACGTCCCCACCAGATATTGCACCGGCATGTCCTATTGTAGAGAAGAACCAACAATGGGAGATGAACAAATCTGGGCCGAACAGATCTGACGAGGCACCAGATAGAAACAGGTAACATTGCACTCATCAGACAGCCTGTGCGACGACTTCCTATTCATCAGAGAGCTGTAGCCGAAGCGGGAATTGCTTCAATGCTTAGAAGAGGTGTCATCAAGCCAGCATCTGGACCTTGGGCCTCACCCGTTGTCCTGGTCCGTAAAAAGGATAGAAGTGTCAGATTCTGCGTGGATTACAGGTGACTTAATGCAATCACCCAGAAGGACGCATATCCCATTCCCGCATCGATGACACAATCGACGCTCTAGCTGGATCTACTTACTCCAGTATCTTTGACCTTGCATCTGGGTACTGGCAGGTGCCCATGGCGGAAGAACATAAGCCCAAGACAGCATTTTCCATATACTACGGTCTGGTCTGGTCTATGGTCCTAGCTGAATATGGGGTTGAAATTCAGCAAAAACCGGGCAGGCATCATAGAAACGCAGACGCTATGTCAAGAAGACCGTGCAAGTCGTGCACTCGCCCAGAACCATCAGATTCAGAAAGAAAGTCCCCACCAGATATTGCACCGGCATGTCCTATTGTAGGAGAGATGAACGGTTTTTGCTGGCAAACCCAAGAATGACTTATCAATCCAGGAACCTTACCAAGATGGAATGTGTCGTGTAGCACAGAAAGTCGAGACCAACTGGCCACAGAGTTTCAAGAAAGCTGAGCTGAGAGGGAAGTAGCTAGCAGACGAGACGCTAGGTAAAGTTATTGGATGGTTGGAATCTGGAAAAGACAGACCTACTTGGCGCGATATTTCTGTACAAGGCGCTTGGTGAAAGACTCTCTGGGGATCTGGGACTAGTCATGCATGAGGAACAGTGTTCTACACAAGAGATTGGAGGATAACACGGGCGATACTGTCATTTTTTGTCCCATCAGAGTTGCAAGGGGAGATCCGGACAAGTTTACACAACAGCCCAACTGGAGGACATCTTGGGGTTAAGACGTTTGAAAAGCTGAATGGTCGCTTTTATTGGTATAAGATGCGGGAGACTGTAGCAGACTGGTGTCGACGGTGTTTGGCATGCGCCCAACAGGAGATGCCAAACTGTCACGCAAGGGCGAAGCTCCAAAAGCAAATCTCGGGCTTACCGATGAAGAGAGTCGGCACAGATATTACAGGACCTTTCCCAGAGACCCAACGCCGTAACCGATATGTGCTAGTAGTTTCGGACTACTTCAAAAAGTGGTCTGAAGCCTATGCCATTCCTTCTATCGATGCAGAGACCATCGCCCGAGTGTTCGTTGATGACTTTGTATGTAGATTTGGTGCTTCTCATCAGCTCCGCAGTGACCAAGGTCGACAATTTGAGAGTAATCTTTTTCGTTGGATATGTAGCTTATTGGGCATAGACAAGACAAAGACCACGCCCTACCAACTGGAGAGTGACGGGCAAGTTGACAGGTTGAATAGAACTATGTAGACAATACTGGGAACATACACAGCGGCAAATCAAAAGGATTGCGATAGATATTTTTCTACGGTGATTATGGCATATAGGGCCTGACCTCACGAGAGCACTGGACAAAGTCCAAACAGGATGGTGCTTGGTTGAGAGACCGATCTTCCAATTGACCTCATCTGTGGTTTTCAGCAGGAAGAGGCATAAGAGACCCTGGCCTATGCCAACGAACTGAGACATAAAATGGAGCACTCCCATGACACTGCAAGAAAACACTTGAAAAGATCAGCTCTCTAACAACGCCGCCATTACAACCTCAAAGCACACCCAGAGCTGTACCGCAATGGCGACGCAGTGATGGTTCGTGTTGTCAGCAGAGAAGTGGGACTTTCTCCGAAGCAACAGCCAAAATGGAACGGCCCTTATCTAATCAAGACGATAAGTGACGTAGTGGCCAGGATTCAGAAAAGTAGCAGACATAAGCCTAGAGTGGTACACGTAAATTTGGTCATGACTGGACAGGGACAGTCAGTCAGATCATAGTAACACTGAACAAGTACCATCAGAACTGGACAATGTTGGGGATGAGGGAATGATCCACAATGGAGGAGCAGGCACCATGGAACACGAACCCTTGCCTACGAACATTCTGACGAAAAGACGCAAGAAACATCTGAAGCCTTGGCGACTTCTAACCTAGACATTGACGAACCAAGGCCAAAGGGACGAAAACGCAACCCCGACAGATATAGGGAATGATCACTTTAGCACCGTCTTTGTGTGTGTTTCTTCCTAATCTGTGCAGGTTGATCATGGATCGTGACTGAAGCCGCTCCCCTCAAAAAGAACTGGTGCGTAGAGTGCAACACTGGATTTAAGTCTTTGTCAGCGTACCGGAGGCATGTGGACAAACATCACGTGCAGAGAAAGAAGTTAAGGTGCCCATACTGCGATAAGACCTTCACACGCAATCACGATCTAGATAGACATTGGGGATAAATCACCGTGAAAAGGATCGCAGCCCACAACGATCTCCCTCGGTACCCAGGACACTAGGAAGAGACATAGATGTCTTGAGCGTCTACGCAGAACCTGTACACACAAGCATCCCTAACCCTACGAAGCCTTGCCCTGACAAAGACCACCATTTATGTGCGGACGTCTTCAAGAGTAGGAGAGAATTCATCACTGCCAACACATTGGGACGCATCATCACAGACCGATGGTGCATTGGAGTTCAGTCAATGGAGCGGATCACCAAAGAGCTCATGGATGGCAAAGAGGTAGTAGCCTGCATCGTGCGTGAAAAGACAGTACTAATTCCATCGTAGAGGAGCATTTTTGTTAAGCCACAGTTCGTTATTTTAACCCTAGGACGAAGCACCTTGTCCAATACAACGGCCAATGCAGTACCGTGTGTTAAAATTGTCCAAGATTTATTTTGTGGATAAAACGATCCCTATTCAATGTCTTTTTTCAGTTTTCTTCAGCATAAATCAGATGGAAACCTTCCTAAGAAGACTTCCCAGTATGTTTTGTGGGGGAAGTGTCCTTTTTGGGGCGTGGTCTGCAGTGGGGTGATCCCGAGGAGGCAACCTACGTCAATTGTTGACACTAATGCAGGACGTTGTGCCAAAATTGTCTCAGATTTGTAAAACGATCCCTATTCAATGTTTTTTTCTGTTTCTTTCAAAATATATCAGAAAGAGGCTTTCCTAGAAAGACTTCTCAGTGTGTTTTGTGGGGGAAGTGTCCTTTTTGGGGGCGCGGCCTGCAGTGGGGGGCGCGGCCTGCACTGGGGGGCGCTGAATTCAACAATACGGAAATACATGGGCGATACCGAAAATATACGGGAAATTCCCGCTATGCATACTTGAATCACCGTGACTCACTCATCCTGGGCCTTTATAGCACAACAGCTGGGCCTAGACAGTGTAAATAATTCCACGTGGCCAGCCTCCCCAGACCCAGGCTCTGCCCTGTCAATCACAAGGGCTTATCCAGGACTCCAGGTCAACACATTATCTGTTTACAGTGCTGGCGCCAACCACAAGCTTCCAGACACATTGGCAAGCATCCCTGACATTGGCTTGATACATTTTCCAAAGGGAGAAGGAGTATTTTAGGGGGGAATAGGTATTGCGTGTATCATCATAAAATAGCAGTGTTTTGTGCACAAACATATGGGAATGGATATGGACCCCCCGTTTCAGTCACTGCCAGGGCCATACCAAGATTGACACCCCTCTCAATAGTTAGGTGGGGAAAAGTTAGGAAAAGCCACGGGAGTTCGATCAGATGATGCGTGGCAGTTAGTAGAACGATCAAATCACGCGATTTCTGAGACTCTTTAGTCTTGAAAAGAGAACATTTTCTAAGATAACTGATTTATCACTTCTAATGAATAAGTTTTGCTTGATAGAGCTAATGAAGTAAGAGACAATTTTCGTTACAAAGAGTGTCAATCCTGTTCGTTTTAAAGAAAACAACAGATGATTCTAGAAGTGGTTTTTCCAGGGTTTTCCTTAAATTCAGAAGGTTTCTTTGTATAACCGTACCCTTGATAAGTGGAAAGTTTTCATGTTGTTACTAAAATTAAGGTATTCGCTTAAGGTTTCTGAAGTTGTAAGAAAATGCAGTTATGGCAACAGTGAAGTTTTTAAAGGTTTAAAAGAAAAACAGATGTGAGGACACATCCCTTCTGAAGCAGGGGATAATGTAACAATACTGCGCCGCTTACATTTACTGAAAATCAAAGGACAACTCTGATCCCATGACTTCTTTCTGATAAAGTTCATCAAACAGTTCGTTCTGAGCCACAGAGAAGTACTTTTTCCAGTCGCCAACTTGCCCTGTAAAGAAAACATAAACAATACTTGAAAAGCCGCATGTCATCTTTAGTAGCATTTTTGTGGTTTCCTTTCCAAAAGTATACACGAGAGTTGATTAAAACGAAGTCAGCATCATAACCCGCACCCGTGTCTTCTTTGAAATTTCATTATAATCATACCTATTCTCGCTTCTGACGTCAACTGTTCAAATCCTCCACCAGTTGCTGCTTGAAAATTGAAAAGTCACAGTTTGTCGGCTAAGAGCCGCCCATCGCATTTTCTACCACAATTTACCTTTGCGCATGAATGATACCATCTTTTCCTTCGGTGGCTGGTTCAATACCTCGCAGTCACTTCCAAACTCCAATACCATGTCTGGATTGGCTGTAGGGTCCTTTTTCATGTTTTGAAAACTGCACTTCTCTACAATTTTCTGTATGTCTTTTTGCGTCACGGGTCGCTCTAAGAAATCGGCAGTCAGTTGTACAGCACTCTTCAGATCCTTAAAGGTAAGAAACCCATGTGTACTCAGAGTCAGAAAAATACAAAGAGTCTGCACACATACATGTACTGGAATTGATCGGAATATTTAGGTTGTAAATTCTTTGATCGACATTGCATACGTCAACCAACGGGTTTCATGACGGAAAGTATTGAGAAATCTTTGTCAAAGTGCGGTTTTGACAATCTTATAGAACATTAAGGTACAAAATACTGTAGGGGTACGAGTTTTAGCAGCCGTCCAGTTGAAGTAAAAGTAATTCATTCGTAGAGGTCATGAATATTCAGTGGCTATTTGTTTCAGTGTACTTGCTTTTACAACTACTGGGTTCTTTTTGAAAAGTATTAAATATCGTTTGTGGAAGAGTTAGTGAAATTCTTAGGTAAAATTACTTTTGTCACTGTTAGCTGAATAATTTAGACGATAGATACATTTTCAATTGGATTTTGCGAACAATGCGGGGGTGGCACCAAACACTAGAATAGCACGCACATAGTTTCGCGCTCTCTCGCTGCTGTCTTCTTGCTGCCTATATTAGTGACACAACAGCATCACAAATTACTTTCTCTTTTCCCGGATTTAGGGGATAAAGTCATTCGCATTTCTGCCATTGAGCTTGTCCTGCAAAGTTCATAGAAGATATTGATCTGTGTGGCTTTCAGTTTGATCTATTCTTGCGGCGCAGGGCGAGTGACATTCGCTGAGTGGTCAGAGTTTCTTTTCGAAGTTGAATGGCCTTTCTGTATGTTGACATTGCACACAGTGCTGTACTGCATTAGTCAATGGCAGCGTAACGTAATGTACATACATTATGGGTTACGCGCGGAGCACAATTGTGCACATAGGTTGTAATTACTCTGTCCCAGTACTTAAATTGCATACTCTTATGAGTTGTCAAGATGTTTTTGTGTGTGTGTATTTATGACTTCAATACTAGGACAGAATGGAGCGTGCCTTGCGAATAAAAAGGAAAGATTTCTGTCGTAAGATTTATGTTCAAGTATGTACATGTGCTTGGGTTTGTAAAGGCATATCAGTCAATTTGTTCAATATTCATCGTTAAAATATACTCTTTTGCGTTGCTCAAACGGATCTTTTATTTTTGTTGTTTATTGTTCGTTGACAAATGCTTCGGACGAAAGTTTAATCTAGAGAGGCACATGGAAAATATCCATGTTGAGGAGGAGTCAGACATGAATGAAGTTGACGAAAGCTCGGATTCTGTTGAGGAGGTCGATGACGAAACCTCGGATGAAGACAGTTCAGATTTGGAAGACAATGCCGCCTACCAAGATTGGCTGGCTGAAGCTAAAGAAACACATAGTGGGATGAGGGATGAAAAATATGACAAGTTTGTCAACGAAGGCATGGATGAAGATCAAGCCAGGCAGAAGGCAAACAGAAAGACCCTCTGGGCAGTCAGGAGTTCCTGACCTATATTTGAGGGGAAATGAAACTCACAAAGACATTGTGGATGATCTCGATGGAAAACTTGATAAAGGCATGAACGTCAACAAAGCTTTGAATAGAGTTTTGCCTAAACATGCTGAAAAAAACTGCCGGACTGTTTCATGACGCCTAAGAGGAGCGTGCCTAAGAGATAGCAGTCTGTAGAGACCAATGGTTCCAAAAAGAATGAGTACATGTAATGCCTATGATTTCAAATTTAACAAACTCCTAATCACGTTTGTATTAATGAAGAAAATTATTGTAAAAAATTAATGATAAACAACGGGCAATAAAACATACCAGTACGAGTCTACCAGAAACCAATATATGAAGTCCATTGAATTTGTTTTGTGTTCTTACTTACCGGTATGACTATCCAATAATAATTCTCAGGTCCTCAGGTCAGATACTGGCCGGGAAGTTAAGTTCTGCAAAATATTCCACAGCACGACGAATAAATTTACCCCTTTGCTACGTGTTAAAAACCATCAACTGTCGTCATGCCGGCCTACGTGTACATGGCTGTGTCATGTACTGTATGTGATAGTTTCTCCCACATTTATTTTTCTCACTGTCGCTGACTACTGCCAGCGTGTTACGATCCCCATTACAATCACACGTACCTTTTCAGTAATTTGAAAAAATACAGCCGCTAGTACATGTTGAGCAGTTCAAACTTTCTAAACTCAGTCACATGATTTATGATTTTGCATTCGTTCGACAACACAGTGCGTAGTAATAAGCCTACATGATTGACATCCAGTTCGGTAGTTTTCCATGACTACATGTATATGAATGCATGTACTTTAACCCATGCATGAACTGTAAAACGAAGTTGAAACCGGATCGCCCATGCGTGCACTCACCTGTTTCACTGCCTCATGCATCCAGTTCTCAAGATTCCTGTCTCTACCTGATCCCAAGGTAAAAGCTGTCCTCACGAGCAATACATAACGAACGATTCCCTGTCGTCAGCATCACAGCGTTGCCTGTGAACTCGGCACATTTAAAATCACTGCGCGTGTGTCGGCCCTTTGTGCTGGACAAGATGGGACATGCTGCTCACTTGTTTACGGCAGTCGATGACTCAGTGCCGTGACGTCACGGACTAGCTTGTCCAGTATTACACATCAAAGGCTTCGTATTGGGCTGTACCATTTTCTTCCTGTGGATAGGTAGGTTCCCACGTTGTTGACTTCCCTTCTAAGCATAACTATATGCGAGTATACATTTCTCTATTTGTGTACGTATAACATATTTGTATAGCTTATTTTGAGTTTTTGTTCATCGTACATTTACTTCAATGGAAACATTCGCCCCAAATTGACTGATATGCCTTTTCAAACCCAAGCACATGTACATACTTAAGCATAAATCCTACGACAGAAATCTTTCCTTTTTATTCGCAAGGCACGCTCCATTCCGTCCTATTTTGAAGTCATACGCTTTTACAGATAAAAAACAGTACGCAGAAAATGGACAGAATCAGAAGAATATTTCAATTATCAAAAGTTGATGCCTCGCTTATTGAACACCCCTCTTAGACATGGTACGGGCTGGCTCCTCAAATTATGTAAATGAAGCTGAATTTCAGCCAAATCCTGCGTTCTGATTGGTCGAGAGGCTAAAATGACGATGTAATATCGACTATAGTGGCCCTAGGCACTACTTGTACTTGCATATGAACATGATCAGTCAGCCAACTATTAAACATACACACATGTATTGGCTTCTGTGGATTGGATATATATGTAGTAGTTGTCTTTGTGACAGCTCATGGATTTATTTATCTAAAATGTGGATGCAACATGTATTGTATAACAACCATAAAGCAAGTATTATAAAATTGTAAACATATTTCAATGTCTACAATTGGCAGGGTTTTTCTTTTCCTGATCTGGGATTCACCAAAGTAAATTTCTGGTGGGCAACTATAGTCTGGTGGTACATTTTCTTCTTGATGATGCTCAACTCCTCTTCACAAGGGTGAACCTGACCACCCTAAGGTTCACTGGGGTGCCGCCTCGTGACAATACTGTAGGTAAACGTGATCTTAGCTAAGAATTGGAAGTGTCAGGAGAAGTTTTGAAATGATTTTCTTGCAATTGATACTGTGTGGGTAGCCTTCTTGCATATGTGTTTTTTTTATTCATTTCCATTAACTCTTTATATGGGGATTGTGGTGACGCCGGTCTTATAATCCCGTTGTTATTATTAATTTTTGAGGACAGATTTTCTTCTAAATGGTTTTAATTTCCTAATAGATGTCCTCTGCACCCTCAAACCATTAAATCCGAAAAAAACAAGGAAAAGGTAGTGAGCTCTGATCCTGCCGCAGTTCTTTGTTTTCTTTCAGTAACTGATCCGAAGGGTAACATGGCACATGAAATAGCCTTTGGATATGTTATTTCCCGGGGTAGAATTACTCAGGCACGTGCCTTCTGGAAAGCCAATAAGCTTCTCAGAGGCCGGACATATGGAAGTGTATTTGGGACATGGTTAAAAAAGTTACTATTTCGTACGTACGGATTAGTATTTCATACGGACGGAATACAACTTCGTACGTACGATTTACTATTTCATACGCACGGATTTCGTACGTACGGATTACTATTTCGTACGTACTTTGCGAAGTACGTTGCAGGACACAAATGGCAGTACACGTCTATATACTTGTGCTCTAGTATATAGTAAGGCAATAAACCTTATCAGATGTTATTGATGGTGCTTTCATTTGAATGTGAGGTGCTGAAATTCATGTCCAAAACAAACGTTTCGACATGGATCGTCAAGAGATCATTACATTGTATTTTCAGCTTGGCTTCTGTACATGTTTTCCGTGGAATTATCCAAATTTGAATCCAAGACTGCAGTTGACAGTTTGGACGATTGATTGTGTTGTGTGGCTATCGAAGCCGCATGTGATCAATGCAGGCATGTGTTGGGGTGGGTACGCCGCTTACTGTGACTCTGGCAATGCAACACGCAGATAACTATGCCGTACGTACGAAACAGTAATCCGTACCATGTCCGAACCATGTCCTAAATACACTTAGATACGAACAGCCTTCAGAGGGTCGTTTGTGCTCATAGGCAAGGCCTGGGCAAGCCAGGCACCAGTTGATGTAAAAAAAAAACCAGGATGACTCCCATCTGGACGATGTTTGTACGCAGTTGAATGGCACTTGGCCAGGGACCAGCTGGATTTTTTCCCTGCTCAGGGGAGGCCCCGTAGTTAAAGGTAACTAAACCAGGCTGTTCAGCATGGACAAAGATAGGATTACATCGGAGGTGATTGCAGTTGGCCTTTTTTGTCTATTTATTTATCAAATAATTAGCAACAACGGCGTACACAGGAGACGTCTGTGACTTTAGTAGGCCCTAAACGCATCGTTACTTAGATGCATGGCTGCGGTGGCTATGTACTGTCATGTGCTGCCGCTTGTCATGGCAACTTGTTATGGATGATAGGCCTACACTGAAGAAATGGTACACTCGTTATAACACTTTTATTTCATGTATTGAAGTCTAATGCACATTGTGTTTAGTTG